GTTGAATCGATCGATTCAAAATTCACAGTGCCCTTTTCGCATCTCGACCATTTATAAACCGAATTGCAAACTTTTTTACTTATAAAAGTATTTGAATGAAATTTGATACATAGGCACTTGGAATAAAGGAAAATCAAACGCCAATTTCAAAATTTGGTTTTGCGCATGCGCAGTGCCAACTTTTTTATTTATGGAAGAATTTAAACGAAATTTGATACATAGGCACTTGGGATAAAGGAAAATCAAACGCCAATTTCAAAATTTGGTTTTGCGCATGCGCAGTGCCAACTTTTTTATTTATGGAAGAATTTAAACGAAATTTGATACATAGGCACTTGGGATAAAGGAAAATCAAACGCCAATTTCAAAATTTGGTTTTGCGCATGCGCAGTGCCAACTTTTTTATTTATGGAAGAATTTAAACGAAATTTGATACATAGGCACTTGGGATAAAGGAAAATCAAACGCCAATTTCAAAATTTGGTTTTGCGCATGCGCAGTGCCAACTTTTTTATTTATGGAAGAATTTAAACGAATTTGATACATAGGCACTTGGAATAAAGGAAAATCTAGCGCCAGTTTCAAAATTTTATTTTGCGCATGCGCAGTGCCAACTTTTTTATCTATGGAAGCATTTAAGTGAAATGTGATACTTAGGCGCTTGGAACAAAGGAAAATCTAACATTAGTTTTAAAATTTAGGTTTGCGCATGCGCAGTTCCAACTTTCTTATTTAGAAAAGCATTGAAATAAAATTCTTCGCATAAACTGAAATTGAAGTAGCACGTCAACAATGGATTGCCCATGTGCAACGCTATCTTTCATATTTGTGGCCGGATTTTTACGATTTTAACAGAAGTTGCATCTTACAAATGGGAAATGAATGCAAGTGGAAATGCGCTTTATGTAAATCGTTTACGATTACTTTTTCACTTTTTATTATTATAATGCAAAGCGGTCCCGCTGGAGGTACATTATCTTAAAAGCAAATCCTTAGTACAGCGCGGCTGGATCAGTTATATTATACAAGACGCGTGGTGCGTTTTCATGCAGAGATGAGAAATAGTACTTCCTTTTCTAAATGCTTAAATTTACAAATTTAACCATAGTTGAAAATCAATTCAATGTCCATGACAATTTTGACGTCAGAAAGACCTCATCGTTTTTCATTGTCCGATGTATTTGTTTCAGGAGCTTTTTACGCTTTTATCATTCTCAAATACTCGGCCCAGCCTTTCTTTATAATTCTATGGCGTATTCTTTTATTTTGCAAGAAGTTGCATACTGATAATTGAAACCGCGCCTATTGTTAGGCGTCCTTTTTTTGTTTCGGGTAGATGGATGTATAGAGTGAGCATTGTGTTTGAATACCTAACAATGTCGATCCTGGACGTATACGAAACATGCAAATGTCAAACACTTGAAGACCTTCTATTATTTGTTAGGTTCGGTCGTACATTATTGCGACATTATTGTTTCCTAAATGCGACTTACAGTAAAATTTGTTACGAAAAGCTACAGAATTTTAATTGATCGAATCGACGATGGCAAGATAATTTACTTTTCACAACCTTAAATTTGCAATCTCTATTGTCGAGCTTACTTATTCCGAGAATCATACTATGATCTTTGCTTATTCTGATTGGCAAGTAGTAGACGTGCACCTTCAAAATCGATTTTGATAAAAATATTGTGATTTCTTGCTTTGAGACGGTGCTATGTTAACGCTAGCACCATCGTTTTTCTACAGCTTTGAAACGCTTGCCTCAAGTTTGCTAACCAATGGCAATGTAGTGCAATCCCCATTTTCTTTTTGAGCCATTGTTTGTTTTATTTTTGCTCTATTAACCTGTGGCCATTTAATGCCACTGAATACTGTTCATTCAAATTCGGAGGATATATTGTTTTTCTGAGTCGCTTGGGTTAAAAAAAACACGAAAATTGATCATTTTCGCCTTCTTTTATGAATGTTCTAGACTGCTAAGAGGTACACCTAGGCTAACTTCTGAGTATCTACCTTGTAAGAAATTACACGAGGAGCATTTTCAGCTAAAAATATTTCATCTAGTCCTAAAGGTCGCGATATATTTTCAAAAAACCGCAAAAAGCCACGAAAATTGATTTTCGCCTCCTTTTATGAATTTTCTAGGCTAAAAGGTAGACCTAGGCTAACTTCTCAGCATCTACCTTGTATGAAATTTCACGAGAAATATTTTCAGCTAAAATATTTCATCTAGACCTCATAGATCGCGAGATATCAGCAAAAAAGTGCGAAAACACGGTTTCTGGAGGGTGGTGGGGTGGCTGGAGCCTTTAGCACAGGGTCTGGGGGGTGGGATTTTTAATATGTTGTTTCTGACACCCAACTGAACATATTCAGGATACTAAGGCCCGGTTTACAATGTATCAGTTTAAATTTCAGTTTACAGTTAAGTTGTGGGTTAAAGGATTTGATTGGATAGTGTTTCAGAAGTTGACCAATCGTGTTTTTGAAATCTGTCAGTTAAACTAATCTGAAGTTTAAACTGACATTGTACAACTGGGGCTTAGTTTCACCACTGAAAATAGTGGCTACTGAGCTCAACCACCACGACAAGGTGTATCCCATTGGGGGCTACCTCTATATCAGTTAATCATAATGCGAATTGGACTAACGTCTATATAGGTCGCTAAAACGGTACCTTCAAATGCTGACTCACCGAGTCATGACAGATTTTGTGTAATATTTATTAACACTCATTTTCCCATGGCACGCCACAATTCACATGAGGTATTTAGATATTAAAATTGAAAATTTGAAACATATTCATTTTTATTTATAAATATTGCGATTGCAAAAATGTTAAAAACACCGCTCCTGCGAAATGTGTTTGGTGTACCGAGAGAATTTTTTTCCCGGGCCAAAACTTATTCTCTCGGTACACCAAACAATGATTTCACAGCCTTGGTATACAAATAACTATTAAAAACAATAAAATCTGCGAACATTTTATGATTCTCGAAGGTTTCATAATGCAAGGGACCGGTCGATTTTTCATTCTAGCGTCTTATTATACGTACGTCAAGATATTGGTATTGGAATGTCACAGAGCTCGTTTTCAGTATTATACTCCTACTTTACGACTTTTTTTTGCAAGTCTATAATGGTTTATAAGTTTGAAATTCTAAGTTGTTTAAATTTTACCGTCAGGAAATGAAACTTTATATAAAAGAAAGGTAACCATCCTGGAGAGGTGAAATCTTATCAAAGAATGATGATATGGGAATGGAGATAGATTTGGAATTACAAAATTGTTCCAATATCATCAAGAAAAATATAGATATAATTAATTTGATTAAATTAAACAAAGTAATATTCTAGGGCTAAGCAATCAAAGACTGTAATTTATAGTAATTTTTGTCATTACTAAGTTTTAACATTGAAAGTTATAGATATGGGTGAAGTTTGTGTGTACTCCACGCGTTCTGGAATATAACAACTGCCAGTATTCTGGCATTTGAAAAGATCCAGGTGGCATTGTGGACTACATCGAAAAGCAGAAAAAGCGGTATTTCGAACAATGGAAATATACTGCTGGCCAGAACGCGTTTTGGGTACATTTTTGGGTCATTGGCCAAAATCAGTGTTTGACCCAAGCCCAACAGATCTATCCAAGCTTCCAACGTCATCCGAAGCTACTTCATCAAACAAACAAGATATCGCTTTATGTAAGAGATCTCCGATAGACCCACATATACACCACAAACGGTCAATCTGTATAAGTATGAATTTAACACAAACTAAAGTAAAACCCTTAACGTCTCAGCACAATTGCCATTCAACTGAAATAGCAGAAAAACCGCGAATCATTTACCTCCCTGCAGAAGGCAGACTAGCTTTTAAAGACCTCAAAGGCCTCAAAAACAACAAGTTAAACAACTATAAAGGCTCTAAAGTGTCTAATGGCTTTAAACGCTCTTAAAGACTAGTCAAAATCTTGTGAAGACTATTTGAAGCTCTTGAACACTTGAAAATCTGATAAATAGGTACCTATTGCCATCGGAATTTATGTTATACGCGAGGTTATACGTAGTGCATCAACCAAAAGGAATAATATTGAGAAGGAAATTCGGTAAGCCGCTTGTGAGCAAGAAGCGAAGAGTGCCACTAGAAATACTAATCTACTTATCCAAGGGTATTTTTAATGGCTGATACAAATTGTAGAAATATTTAAACGCATTACCCTCCAAAAAACGGAGAGGTTCGAGATATTTCGCATCATCCTTGGG